ACTTAAATCACTCTTTAGTATACTGTGACATAATAACTCTTCTCTAATTGATCTATTCCAATCTGTTAAAAATTTATGATATTTTCTGGTATCTTCATTCCTTTTTATTCCTTCATGATAAAGACATATATGTCATACTACAAATTTCCCATTTAAAATATATAGTATGATATATATAGGGAGTAGAATTAGCTATCTATTTTTTTGGTAACCCTATAATCACAGAAAAAAATGATTTATGGTTGTTATATAATATTCTATTCTGATATTACAACATATATATTAAACACTTATTTGCAATATATATTATAAATTATTTGATTATAGGTCAAAGCTTTTGGGTATTTGATTAATGAACTCCTTAATTTTTTGAATCCTCTCAGAAATAACTATTTCCAGTTTTTTATCATGCCACATCTCAAGTAGGAAAATTCCATTATCTTGACATATACATCTTTTTTTCCAATCACAATTTACAATATCCTCAAGTTTTTTGATATCTTTATATCAGCTAGTGCTATGAAGCTGATACTAAGCTCCTTGTACTTCTAATGCAATTCTGTATTTTTAAAAGAAGACATCAAGTTCCAACTCATTCAAGAAGGGAGGATGATACTCAATTATCATTTTTTCTCCAAGTAATACTTGAGCTATTAGGATACATTTTTCCTGAAATTTACGATTTTTCTTAGACTCTAATTCTTTTTTAAATTCATCTAAATCCTGTTTTAACTTTATATTCTTGGTTTCAACTTCTTCTTTATCATGCTTTAACTTCATATTCTCAGTTTTGATTTTGATATTCTTATTTTTAAGTTCAAATACTAGATTATCGCATTTATCATGAAGTCTTGTTCTATTAATAATAATGAAACTAAGATTGAATTGTAATTTCTTTACCAATTCATTGATCTCTTTATCTTTGAATGATCTAGATTCAAGAACTTGTTCAAAAATTATTTCTTCTTCAAAAAATATTTTTATCTCATTCTAAAGATCTTCAAATTGTCACCATATTAATTCTGGTAAATTAATTTTGGATTATGTATTTATTATTATTTGTGAAGATTCAAAGTTTATCCAAGAATCAAGATCAGTTTCTTTCTCATAATGTTTATATAACTTAGGATGGATCTCATCTATTAAAATACCTGGTGGTACAGTAATTTCAGCTTGCCACTTCAAATATTTAGGAGTTAATATTTTATGAATTTTTGATTCTGTGTTTTGTTCTTTCATATTAACATTTTACATGATCATAAATCAATTCAAATTAGGTATTAGCAATAATAATATATCAGAAAAAAATATGTATTAAATAAAGTTTCTGCTTCTGAACCTAATTTATATAAATTTTGATATTATTGTGAAACTAGTTAATATGCGCAGATTGAATAGTCCAATTTTGTATAAGTTTCACTGATATTAAAATCATAATAATATCCTTCATTATCATCAGAGAAACTGCAATATCCTCCATTTTCATTGTTATCATTAAAGAAATTCTCATTATTCCTATTATCATAAACATCTTCATCATAGCTATAAAGTGACTACCTCCAGTAAGAATTCTTATCATCAGAGAGTTCTGAGTCAAAATCTAAAGAATCAGATGTGATAGTATTCTTACTCCATAAGTCAGACATACTTATCTGTATATCAGTCTCTGATGAATTGGAATCTTGAATAACTTCTGATAATACACTTATCTTAGTCTCCAGTAAAGATTTGTTATTTTCACTTATTATATCTTCTGAATTAGATGTATTAGATAATAAGATAGAGGGGATAGATATTTCTAAGTTGAGAGAATCAGTAATAGAATTTTGGCAGAAAGCCTTGACTGAAATCTCAGAATTGGAAACTTGTCTTCCTGCTTGAAGAAACTATCTATGATTTCTTTAATTTTATTATTAGTTAATTCCAAGATAGAATTAATACTATAAGTTATGATATATTTAATTTTATCTATATCTAAATTTTTAAATAATTTGTATATTTTTACAGCTTTCTGGATTTTTCCTTGCAAGTATTTACATAAAATTTCTGAAAGTTGTAAATCTGTATCTTCAGATTTCTTTTTATGTAGAATGGAAAGATCTTCTAACATTTTATCATACAGTGGCAATCATAAATAATGCAACACATGGGTAAAAATTTTTAAATTCAGTTATTTTCAAAAAATAACTAATAAAATTTAAATTAAATTACTAATTATGATAATTTAATAGTTAATTAAATATGACTTTATTTTTTTTAATTTTTTTAGCTGTCGATCATGAAATATATAGGTAAGTTTCATGAAATATGTGTTACATTATTTTTGATATTTTTTTATGTTAATTAGTATTACATATTTAAGACTAACACAAATGCAATTAAATAGATATTTTTTTGTTAATCTGTTTTTTTACAATAGAGTAGCTTCTCAGAATACACAAAAAAAAACTAAATATCATACTATATTGAAACAAAGAGCAGAAATTCTTATTATTCTCGAGAAAGATTATAGTGCCAGGAAAATAGCATGAAAATGAAATATTAGCGCTTCCACTATTACCTGTATTAAGCAAAGATGATAGGAGAAACACACCCTTATTGACACTAGCAGGCCTGGTTATTCACATATGATAAATGAAAAACTAAAATAAAAAATTGTTAATCTTATCCTTTCCTGTAGATACTTGATAGCTGTTGAAATTCGAAATCACTTTCATGAAACTGAAAATATGGATATTTCTATACCTACTATTCATCATATACTTAGTAATTATGGATTAGTATCAAGAATAAAATACAAAAAGCCATATCTGAAAAAAGAACACCAAAAATACTAACTTAATTTCACAGAAAAGTATAAAAATTGAACTAAAGAAGACTGGACAAGAGTAATCTGATCAGATAAGTCAAAGTTTAATATTTTTGGGTCAGATGAACGTGAGTATTATTGGAAAAGAAAGGAAGAATCATTAAAAAGCTCACATATTAAATCTACTATTAAATTTGGTGGTGAGGGAATAATGATATGGGGTTACTTCATTACTTATGGGGTTGGCAATCTTTGTAAGATTGATGACAGGATGGATGACACATTATATAGGGAAATTCTTTCAAAAGATCTTTTAGAAACTATTAATAATTTTAGTTATGTACTAAATGATGTCATTTTTCAACAGGATAATGACTCTAAACATACTGCCATTGAAATCTATCAATGATTTATTAATAATAAAGTTGATATTCTCAATTGGCCACTGCAATCTCCAGATCTCAATCCTATTGAACATCTATGAAATATTATCAATCATTATTTACATCATTTTTTGGAATCAATTTCAGGAAGAGGAGATTTGTGAGAGAAAATTCAAAATATGTGAAATGATATTGATGTTGAGATATGTATCTGTCTTGTTAAATCTATGCCAAAAAGAATTGCCAATGTAATAAAGATCCACAGTGGCTATACAAGATGATAATTTAAATTGAAAATAAATAGTTTTTAAAAAAATGTAAAAAAGTTAGAATTTTGATGGTTATTTACCAATTTTTTTTTATTTTGTTCAAAAAGAACAAATATAATGCAACACCAAAAATTGAATATATTTGGTGGTTACAAAAAATTTAACTAAATAAAATTATTTGAATTGGTAACATTTTAAACTATAGGATTGTATCATTTAATCATACTAATAATGATTGTGATACTTTTAATTGTAGGGTGATATATTTATTTGAAAATTTTCATTTGAATGTTGCATTATTTTTGATCGCCACTGTAAATAATTCCTTTCACTTTTTTCTCACTAACTTTACCATTTTTTATAGTTTCATTAACTTGAATTACAAATTCTTTCCCATAATAACACCAACATAAAATTTCTTCCTGGTTCGCACGAATTGCACCATATTCAACATCAGTAGCCCTATTAAATAATTGAGTTAAAGTAAGCAATGGTACTATAGAAGAAATTTGACTCCGTTGTAATAAAATATCATTAGAGAAACTGAGAGTAGGTCTCTGTGCGTCATTTTGAATACCATCAGATATCATTTGAGAAATACTTTCTGCTCCTTTTTTCTTATGACTATTTTTTGGCCTGGGCACCCCAGCTGAAATTTCGAACTTTCTGAATTCAGTGTTTCTGGATATTGAAGTTGAAGGAACCAATACCTTAGATATCACCTCTCCTGATAAAGAAATGTCTGAAGATAAGTTTTGATCTCAAAGCTTCTTTTCCCTAATTCTCTCCATTATTTCGTTACTAACATTTTCTTTATATGCCGTTTCTACAAAATCTAGGGTCTCGGCTAAATCATCATCAATAATCTCTTGTGGCAGAGAGGTTGCGGATGGTTCAGGCTCTGTTGGAGATTTAGATTGTGTCGAGCTATGTTCTAGTTGAGGTAATTCTGGACAAGCGAATGACTGCGAAATATTTCCTGTAGAAGGTATATCCAATTCATTAGGAATAACTTAGGTTTGTAATTTGATTTCCTCGATGTCATGTCTTAATTTCACTACTTCAGCCTTAAGATCGGCATTCTCTTTGTCGCTTTGCTCTAGTTTTACAAATCTGGCCTCGATTTCTTCTTTATCTTGTTTTAATTTTGTATTCTCAGCCTTGACGTCAGCATTCTCCTTTTTAAGCTCGGAAATTGTGGCAATGAGTTGACAATTTAATTCTTGCAACGAATCGATTTTGGATTGAGTGTTTTCCATTGATTTATATATTCAAAACTTCGAATAGGTAGTAAAAATCACGTGTGCGTTCCGAAATGAAACGTCGATCACTTTGCCAGGATGCCTTTGGAAACGATGAAATGTTGGTATTTTTTGATTTTACTTAATTAAATGAATCGAGGGAGAATGCGAGAAACCGTGTGAAGGCCCTTTCGGAAATAAAAATTCATTGGTATTTTTGGTTTTACATTTGCGACCACGATATTTTCAAATGGTCTTATCAATATGATCGTTTTTGCTCGTTCTTTGTTAATTTGATTCACTCTGCAAAGTTTCCCGTGAGAAGTGGTATGGATATTCTTGACTTTATGACGGATAGGGGGCGCGAACTTGGCCATAATGGACTTATATGCTCTGCCAGCAAATGGTCCAAAATAGTCCCTAAAAACTTTTCCATCTACAATCCCAGAGCGTTTCGGAAGTTC